AGACTCTTAAAAAGATACTCTCGATTCAATTGGATTTTTGCCTAAATCGAGAGCCAAACTTCTCAATTGAAGAGGATTTCCTGTTGATTCTAGCAAAAATCCAATTGATTGAAACGAGAGTATTTTTTCTTGTCAAATTTTTTAAGAGTCTGGACCCTAGATTCTGGAGATTTTTTTTTACAGTGAGCGACCTAGTTCATTGGCCACAACCTAAGCCCTTCCCTAGAAAGAAGATGACACTGAGGACAGCCTCCCGGGAACGCAATCATCTGAACTTATTATTTACGTACCCTTGCTTTTCTCACTTACCGCTTCACTGAAACTGCCAGTTTCATCGAGATTTCTCTCTCTCTCTCCTACTCTGCCATACTAAGGAATAACGCCGTATAAACATTCGAGAGTTGCCAAATGTCCTTTGATAAAATGATTACTTTTCAGAAAAGTCATGAATATTTGAACCGCGTTAAGCAGAAAGGAACCAAACCAAATCAGCTAATGTCATACATTTAATCGGACAATTTACTTTTTTACATGATAACCCGGATTTTTTTTTGAAAATTGCAGTAAATTTTCTGTACGGCGCGGAGCTAATACCGTAAAATTTTCAAAAGAATTTGCTCAAACGTTCTCTGGTAAAAAATTAAATTGTCCGATAAAATTGATGGCATTATAGCTGATTTGGTTTGGTTCCCTTCTGCCAAACGCGGTTCATTTTACCTTGAACTTTTCCGGAACTTGAGATGAAATTGCTGGAAAAAAATACCAGAAAAATTGTAAGAGAAATGTTGTTTAGTTCCTCAGAAAATTAGTATTTTTTTAAAGAGGAAATTTGGCGACATCTGAAGGTTTATACGGCGTTTTCCTTAGCACGGCAGAACATTCGCCCGCTCTGACTCGCGCAATTTTATGTCCTGGTCCAGAAATATTGACGGTTTCCGCACCAGATCGTAGGCGAACTTGCTTTCCGATCTTGACAGGCTCCGGCTCCCCGGTGGTGAGGCCTCTCCCAGCTTCGCCGCGCGAACCAGGAACAATTTAAATCAAGTCGAACCCCCCGCACTTACGCGCTGAAAGTCTTTATTCCCTTCCTTGCGGTCACTAACCTTTATCGGTGCATCTACCAAAGCTACCGGCCGTCGATAACTTTCAGGGTTGCCACCGTCAGGGAAAACCGGGAAATGTTAGGGAATTTTAGAGTGAGAAAAAACCCGAAAATGTCTGGGAAAATTGTTGAGTCACCTTTATTTGCTGTCAGGAATGGGTGTGACTTTCCAAACAACACATTTTGCCTCAAAACTATTCCTAATATTGTCTTATTAACCATTCGGTATATCTTCAACCGTCAGGGAATTTCAAAGCGATAGCAAGGGATACAAAGGGAAAATGAAGCTATCTTATCGGTCGAAGCGGGTGATTTTTATGGACTAAAGAGAGAAATGATGGACTATTGATGAAGAGTCTCTCTTGGGCTACCGACGGTTGGTCTAACACATGTATTTTTTATCCATTGCAACCACCCGTCTCCTCCATTAGGATCACTTTATTTTCCCATAGTATGCTTTGTCTATTCTTTTGTCTATGAAGTTCAGTTGTGAGCCCGCAGGCTGTACAATCCCCGTCCAATGTTCAAATCGCCCTTTGAAACTGTTTCAGAAGTGGATCCAGCATTAAGGCACCACTGGACTCCCTACATGTAAACCTATGTTAAATAGATTCTTGTTGGAGTATCTGACCCTCACTGGAAAAAAAAACCCTTGGATCTAGAGTCCAGACGCTTGAAAACACTGACAAGGAAAAATCCTCTTAATTCAATCGGATTTTTGCTTGAATCGAAACGAAATCCGCTTAAACTAAGAGGCTTGGTTCTTGATGTAAGCTAGATTCTGATTGAATCAAGGGTACTTTTTCTTGTCGATGTTTTTAAGAGTCTGGACTCTAGATCCAATGTGTTTTTTTTTCAAGTGCTTACAAGAATCGATGCATTTCCATAGGTTTCAATGGAGAAAAGCAATTTTGCCAATATACTGTACTGTATCTGCCAATGTTGTGTTTTGCGGCGCACCAACCGGGTCGCGAGGTGTGACCCCTCGGAAAAACGCGGAAATTCCACGGGACGGGTAAAGGGGGTGGGGCGGGGAGGAGTGCGTGGCGTTTTTCCCGGTGACCACACGAGCGGTTCGCGTCATCTGCTCGCGGCGTTGCGCGGTTTGGAAGGAGCCGGGGGAAAAAAGACGGGGAGGATCAGGGAACACTCTGCTCTGGGTTCGTGGATGGTGCTCGCCGTCTGCGTCGCCGGTCGCCGGGCTCAATTAATCATGAGCGGGGATCGAACCGCAGGAGAAAGTGATAAATGGCGAGGAGGGATCAAATCAATTAATAAATGAGATGCCAAGTCTTGTTGACAAGGAACCAGCCTCGTCTCCCGTGTCCTCCACGTCGCGCCCCCTCCGCGTCGCGTCGGCGTGCATCCCTCTTCTTTTCCGGGAATCGGGACCCTTTGGTCGCGAGCTTGTCTGACGTCACACTGGAAAAAAAAAACACGTCGGATCTAGAGTCCAGACTCTTGAAAACATCGACAAGAAAAAGTACTCTTGATTCAATCAGAATCTAGCTCAAATCAAGAACCAAGCCTCTTAATTTAAGCGGATTTCGTTTAGATTCGAGCAGAAATCCAATTGAATCAAAAGTATTTTTTCTTGTCAATGTTTTCAACAGTCTGGACTCTAGATCCAATGTTTTTTTTTTTTTTTGCCAGTGCATTGATTGGGGCAGTTTCTGGGTTCTGGTTGGGGGTTCTGGCCTAACCTAACTACAGAATCGGATTTTCATTTTATGTTGTGAACAGAGACCAAAAGAGACCCTAAACTGGCCTCTTGGCGATAGGTGGGAACTTTTACTTTCAGGAATTGAGCACTTGAGGCCGGAAGTTCTGGGTGCTGGATCCGTAGCTTCAATTCCTCCGGGTGCTACGCCCGGAACTTTCGGCCTCTGAGTCCGGAACGCGGACGGTATGTCTATATAGCCCGTAAGTACGGCCCTCACGGCCGTATTTTTTTTCAGTGTAGAACACAAAATAATGGAAGCTTTTGGGTGATTACGGGGTTTTCAGGTTTCAACTTGTTTTCTATGCCTTTCAAAGCCTATACTGTATCAAAAGCAACACATAGTTTGGGTTGATCTGAGTATCTCCTTCAACATGCGCTGAAAGTAATACGAGAGAACGATAGAGCGGATGACTAAAAACCATGGAGGGTTTTTTTTTTTTTTTTTTTTTTTTTTTTTTTTTTTTTTTTTTTTGAACGAATTCGACGGTGATTGCGTTCTCTTAGTTTTCTTTTGTTTCATCGATAAGCGAAGGGTAAGTTACATGAGTCATGTAAAAGCAAGCGAAAAACTCTGGATGTGCATGTGACTGTCATCGCCCATCTTGGAAGAGGACGTCGGAAGTCCAATTACTGACTTTGGCGGAACTTACGGGTTCAGTCATTTCTTAAAGTTTAACGAGAGATTTTCCTCGCACTCACGGAAAAGTTGAGCACTGCGGTGATGATGGTGGAACTTGAGCTCTCGGAGTTGCCTCACCACGGTCGCGAGTGACGAAACTATTTTAATAATAACACTTTCGTAACTGAGGCTTTGGTTTCCGTATTATATTACATGTAAATTTAGCTTTGAAAAGTTAAACAGTGTTCGCAAATTCTTAACTTCTTTGATGCAGTTTTCGCTGCGGTCATCTTAGGAGTCAGGTTTTATCAAAGGAACCATGAACAGTGACTCAAACCCGCATTCAAGTCGTTTTGGTAAAGTTTCGATACTAACACCTTGATAATCGGTTCTTTCCCGTAGCTTCTTATGGAGAAATATCGATTATCGATATTTTTGATCTACCACTGATCACAATGTAAACCATACGTTTGGGGCCTTCTTAAGGAAAGGAGCTGTCCAAATAGGGACTAAAAACACGGTTCTTACAATTTGTTGGAAATGATTCCTTAGAGTCTCTAAAGTTGGGGGGAGGGAGGGGGGCCCTAAAGTTTAACATCCTGAAATAACCTCTGATGGTAAAACTCTTTGATTGAATTGACAGAAGCATCGTAAGGGCTGTCGTACAAGTAGTGGTCTTTGACCACTGACCTAAGACCTCCAGATAGTGACCTCGGTACTTTTTAATCCTTTTTTTAAAGATAATAATTTGAAGTAGCATCGCAAGGATGCTATCTTACGTAACCCTACACCTCGGCGCTTGAACTTGTCACTTATCTTGAATAGCATGTTTGAAAATTGATAGAGTAAGGTCAATCGTTTTAATGTGCTGATTCCTGTAAAATGATTGTTTAGCGGTAATACCGGAAAACACCAGTAAAATGGACGTTGTCTGGTATGATGATGATTTGCTATCCATTAGCTACCATTTTTACTGTACTTACCGGCATATTTTTCGCAATTGAGAAGTTATTTTTACCACAAAAGTTTCAATCAAATTATTTTACTATCCGTAAATGGGGAGGTATAATCAAATATTGTGTATAATTAATCATCACGATTCAGTAGAAATCCTAATGGATCTGGACGGATATAATGGACTTAAGATGCTGCACTCTATACGTTTTTCAATTCATACGTAATTACATAAATGTCTTTTACATTTTCAGTGTAATATAACAATGTTTCCATGTTACTAGGTCATTTTAATATTTAAGGAAGCAAATATTTCACCTTTGTAGTGTGTAATATATGTATTCACAATATTTCTGCCGTACAATTTATATATGTATCGACAATTTCTTCGGCAATACGAAGTGTTGCTTTTTTATCGAGAATATTTTGCAGGCGACATGATTTCATGTCGTCGCAACCATTGGATTGCCCAGTAAGTTGATAAAGTGTTCTTTAAACGCGTAGTTGTAAGATTTTTGTCGCTTAGTTAGATATGGAGCTATTATTTTAAGGTGATTTGACTGCTATCTACATCTTGGATGTTTTTGTTTGATTTTTTTCAGAGCTCTAACCCCTCCTTTTTGTGGAGAGAAGCCTAGACCCATTAAAAATGTATTCTAAGCATTGTTAACTTCTGGATCGGCCCGTCAGCTTGCTTACCCTGCCCGTCAGCCATTGCTCGCTTGGAACGCCGCTATACCCTTCCCCACCCCGCCCACGCCCTTGGATACATCTCTTTACGCCACAGACAAAAATACGTGTGACCCGCTCTCCGTACTACCAAACATACGAAGAAAGCTTTTAACCATTTAGTTCTCTTCCATTTTTCTTTTGGTATTTTTTTAATTGGCTTCTTAGATTTATTTTTGCTGGCCTTCGAAGATCACGTATCTCCTTCCGACCGATCATTTTTTATTTACTCTTTTGGATCAAACACTCTCTCGGCTTTGTTTTTGTTGCTAAAGTCCTCCAAACAGTGACCCTTTAAATTGGCTTCCTTGTGCTATCTCCTCTCTCGAATCGTCAGTTCGACACCCGCAGCGCAGTGAGTCAGTGCAAATCCAATTGTGTTCAAGTTTCAAGTAAATACGCAACGGTGCTAGTCAAAATTCCCAATTGCCCCCGGACTTGTTGTTATGATCAGCGCGGATCACAACGAATGGTGACGAGTGTCGACAACGTGATAACGGAGTTGAAGTAGGCGCCAAGTGCCTGCAATTAGCGATCAGTCTTTTCGCGGGATCGACGTGGCGTTAGGTCTGGCCGGCCTAGCCTCCGCCGGAATCATTATTTCGACCTCGAATTCGTGCGGATTCCCGAACCTGTATATCCCCGGGATCCCTGAAGGCGGCGCCGGGGCCCCCGTACCCTCGGAGTCGAGTGAGTGCCAGTCGCCAGCTCTCGGGCAGCCCCCGCAGGGCCAGAGCCACCCGCAGGTCTTCTCGTCGCCCGAGTACTCCCTGCCGACCGTCACAATCGCGACCATAGCGGCCCCCGTGCTCCCTCCCCCGCAGCCACCCCCCGCCCCCGGCATGGCCAACATGGTCAACATGAACAACCTCCTCAACGGCAAGGACTCGAGATGGCTCCAGCTGGAAGTGTGTCGCGAGTTCCAGAGGAATAAGTGCACGCGGCCCGATACCGAGTGCAAGTTCGCTCACCCGCCTACCAACGTCGAGGTCCTCAACGGACGAGTCACCGCCTGTTACGACAGCATAAAGGTACAAGTCTTCTTCACTTCAATTCTTCATGCTCAAACCCACTTCTCTTCCTGTCCACGTAGCCCGTAGCGATAGCCTTTATTTTGCTCCAGCCTCTTTTTTGCTTTCGTGGTGAGCCCTGAGCCATGTCTTCACCAGCGGGCTGATTATTGATATTGATAGACAAAGTGATAGATTTGAGAGTATAGAGCGATCCCATTGCTTAAAATGTATGGTTCCTACAGACTAAGGGAGATAATAACGATAGTTAGTCTATTACCTACTGCCTTTGTCTATTGCAACCACCCGCTTCCACCAGTAGGATCCGTCCAGACCCCGTTTGCCTTCTTTGTATATTGCTTTGTCTATCGATTTCAATAATCAGCCCGCAGTGGCGTGGAGTGCTTTGCGATATATCGGTTGACCTACCATTTAAACCGATGGTAAAGGATCGAAAAGTAGGGTGTTGGCTACAAACACCTTAACAATCGATTCTTCACCATACCTGCAAATGGGCAAATATCGATAGTCGATCATTCACACCTCGTCACTGGTCCGATTGAATCGAGAGTATTTTTTCTGGTCAAATTTTACAAGAGTCTACACCTTGGATTCAAGAGACTCTTTTTTTCAGTGCGTCGTTTCCCGCACGAAGCAACGTAACTCCCATTCCACGCGGAGAATAAAACTTTGTGCATGGGACCCGAAGTTGAGGTCATATGGATCTCTGAAGTTTTGGGATCACGCATCCGAAAACTTGAGGCCCAACTGCCGAAGTTCGGGTAAGACATCTGAAGCTCTCGGTATGTACCGGAGTACTTCATATGTGTGACCTGAACTCTTCGGTATGTATCGAAGTACTTCGGAAGTCTGACCCGAACTTCGGCAGTTGGACCTCAAGTTTTTGGATGCGTGATCCCAAAACTTCAGAGATTCATATGACCTTAACTTCGGGTCCCATGCACGAAGTTTTTTTCTCCGTGCAAGGTTGCAAAATCGGCTCAAACAATTCAATTTTTTAACAAGAATGTGCTTGTGCAATATTTTTGTCCGAAATTTTCCCGATTTTTATTCAAGATCAAAAGAAAAATCTGTGAAATTTTCAGTTAGAAATTTCCAAGATTCTCCTTGCTTGCTTCGCCTACAACTATGAAGTATATATACGTATTTTCTATGATATGTTAAGTCCATGTTTCAAAATGACAGTACTTCAGTAATCAGGCTTGCTATACAGCTAGCAGCTTACAATGTTGACCTTGATATGCATGTATTTTTACTCGTCGGGTGGCGACTATGCGCCGTATTTTCCAGTCAAGTTTGGTGGTACATGCATATTACTTTCCTTATAGTTTTGTTAATTTTCCTCAAAAATCAACCATGAGATGTAAGAGCTTCTCATTCATAATTTGGAACTTATTTTATCTTCTCGCAAACTACAAAATTCGAAAAATACTCTTTGTTTCAACAGGGAGCGGTTTTTTTTCCATTTCCGTGATATTTTTCTCTCTTTTCTAATTATATACCTAAGTCAAGGAGTTTCCCATTTTACGCAAATGGGAAACAAATTATGTAACCTTCAAAATCGAGCTTAAAGCGTACGACATTGAAATAAACTTATTCTGCCGTAAAAAAAAATTTGCCTAGTCGAATGATCGTGTTTTTCCTAGCATGGCAAGACGCAGAACTAGCATCCGTACTCATATCTGGACTACATTTTGCAACGAGGCATTTTGCTACAATACCTGGCTCGTCCGTAAAAAAACTTATCTGCATACAGAAACTACTGGCACATACGTTGTTTCTAACGGGAGCAGTGAACAGTAGTCCCTAATTGTAAAATGCCGTCCATTTGTTCTGAGTAGATCAAATACCATTACTGCCGCGCTAAGGAAGGACGCCGTATGAACATTCGAGAGTTGCCAAATTTCCTTCGATAAAACATGTATTTTTGACGAAATTTATGCACATTTTTCTTTGAAATTTTCAGATATTTTAGAGTGAATTGCGTACAAAATTGTCTGAAAGTGTTGGAAAGAAATATTCAAAATTTTCCCAGTAAATTCGGTTTTTATCGAATGAAACTTGGCAACGCCTGAAGGCTCATATGACGTTTTTCCTTAGCACGGCAGATTACGAATCTTGGGAACCTACCAGCTATACGTAACGCTATGATGGTGAGCAGCATTCTCCCGCAAGTCAGCAAAAAACTTCGGTCCTTCTGGATTGGACGCGGGTGCTAATCAGTGGCGTGGCGTGAACTGCGATGTATCGATTGTTATGCCATTTAAACCTATGGAAAAGGATCGATAAACAGGGTGTTCGTAGCGAACACCTTAATAATCGATTCTTTACCATAGGTTTAAATGGCAGAACAATCGATACATCGCAATTCACGCCACGCCAATGGTGCTAATTCGCATTGTGTCCGGCTCCGGAGGGAGGTGGCCGTGACCGTTCAAATATGCGTAATGACTGTTTTATCAAAGTTGAAACAGACGGCCATAAAAACGCGTGCAGACCCTTGATTTAGGTATCCCCCTTTTAATGCGCTCCTCACCCTACGCCAGCCCCCGTATAATTGATAACAGTCATTTAACTGCGGCGATGAGCGTTATTTAAACACGTTTGCAGTCTCTCCTTCATTCTCAGTTGTCTCGTCATCTCCCGGAGCTTTTTTCATACGAGTCCACCACCCAGAGACAAAGAGACTCTCCATTGAAGCTGGAAGCTTTTACTTTCGAGAGTCCAACACTCAACTGTTGACTTACCTAAACGAGGAGGGTTTCGGGCCACGTGTTGGGTAGTTCGTTTTACAAACCTACCGAAGTTTGGTAAACTTTTTTGGCTCATTACGTCATCCGAGGCGCATCATCCATCCATTAGGTAGGGCAACAGCCAAAAAAAGGGGGATGACTGTTGCTCTCGTATACTCAAATTATCCAAAAGGAAATGTTCAGTCCTTAAAAGCAAAAGCTTTTCGATGCGTTTTTTTTCGCAATATTAAGGTTTCCTATAATGTATTGAGAAATGAGCATGCCAAAAAGTTTGATAGACAAGCGGGGAGTAATTTTTCACTCGACAAGCATGTGAGGCGAGGAAATTGCTTTCCACAATTCAGTGCAAAGTGTGTTCAATGCCCTCCAATGTGGCTTTAATTGTTTTCTTTTCTTTTTACTTTCTCGCTCCCATAGGGTAGAGAGAAAGTATTGTCATCCTCCAAAAAAAAAAAAAAAAAAAGTTGAAATTTCATCATTTCTAGACGTTTTTTTTCAATTTCAAGAATTATTGAACTTTTTAAACCATTTCCATGCAACAACGTAGATTTTACATATTTGTCTCAATTTTTTGCGTGGAATGTAATCAGCGAGTTGGAAGTCGTGTTCAAGTGACAAGGCAGGTCGGTCGTCGCCGAAATAATTGCGGCGTGGAAAATGCGAAAATAGAAATAGATTTATTAAGTCACGGCATTAATTATCCCGTAGCCTACTTTTCCAATTTCCCGCGCGCATCGGCTAAAACCCGCCAAGCGGTTAAGCCTCGTTACCTGCGACAAGATCATAACCCACGTTGTTTCCCAGCTCCAAAGCCCGTATTTTCACCACGTCCATGCTGCCATGCTGAGAAAAAACGCCGTATGAACCTTCAGGCGTTGCCAAGTTTCCTCCGATAAAAATCGAATTTACTCAGAAAATTGCGAATATTATTTCCCAAAATTTTCAGAAAATTGTGTACTCAATTTAACAGGGTGTCTAGCTTCATGAGAAACCGGAAAAACTAGAAAATATCAGGAATCTTGGCCGATTAGGAAAAAATCAGGAAAATCGGAAAAATCGGACGTTTCATCAGGAATTTTTTATCGCGAATCTCCTCAGCGGAGAAGTCTTACTGATTTTTGTCTACCGTGCCAGGAGTCGTCGAAAAATCAGGAAAACATCAGGGATTTTCAAAATGAAAAAATCAGGAATTTTTTATAAAATATCAAGAAAAATCAGGAAAATATCAGGATTTTTAAAAATTAAAAAATACTAGACACCCTGTTTAATCTAAAATATCTGAAAAGTTCGCGGGAAAATGTGCATTTTAATGTCGTCCGAAATACATATATCATCGAGGGAATTTTGGCAACTCTCGAATGTTGATACGGCGTTTTTCCGGCCGCGCGGCAGCATGTAAGTTCGAAAGTTGGCCATTCTGCTCGCGCTTGCTCGTTGGATCGACACGACGCGTGCATGCGCGCTATCGCGCCTGCTTGGCTAAAGTCGAAGATAATTCAATTTTTTCATTTTATTTTTTGTTTTTTCGAGAACTGGGGAATAAGGTCGCCTCGCCGACCGGAGCGGCCGCACGTTTTTTCGCTTTCGGTGTACTTTGACTCTTTCCAAGTCTTATCGGGTTTCTGGACCGTTGCCAGATGAGATAGTTTGAATTTAGAACTCGGAACTCCTGCCGCCGGCCCGACCCGAGATGGAAAATCATTAAGGTTGACAAGTGGAGTCTCTATTTAATATTTACGTCGGTTGAGAATAGAAATTCAAGGGAGCCGGCCGCAGGATCGATCTAAACGCGTATCAAAAATTTCAACCGGCGGGTTCCGGCTGATGGCTGCCCTAAAACCGTGATTATATGTGGTCCCTGTCACATCTGGTCTGAATTATCGAGTGAAAATTGGCGTTGAAGATGGTGCTTTACGACAGAAATTCCATGTTGAAGATTTCTCAGCCTATTTTTATTTCCTAGCTGAGACTCAGAAGGATTTGCCCAACGGTGGTTTTTCTCCTAACGCCCTTGAATACAAATGTTCAAATCTAGGTTTCAGGACTTTTTAGGCTCGACTGTTTATATTTCACCGCAAACTGCACCAGTCTACCCTACCCATGTAATTAGGGGGTGCAAACAGGGGTCTCCTCGTAAAAAAATTCTCAGGAAAATGTCCTTAACTGACCGATATTTTGGCGCCATCTGATCATTTGTATCGTTGTAGCATTTTCCCAGCGGATGCACTGGGGGAAAAAAAAAACACA